GTGTGTAATCTATACGTCGCGGGAGTACTGCAGGTTTCGCCGTATAATAACATTGTGGCTAAATGTGTTAAAATAAAATCTACTTTGTAAACATTAAACCAGTAAAATTATGAAATGTTTTCCTGTCTATTGTTTTAAAAATTATGGCTGTTTATGCTATTTGGGGTTAACCTGAAGGGAAGCCCTGGGGACGCAGCTTTTCTACAGCTATAAATGGTAATGGTCGAAACGTTTTACTTTTTTATTTAAACTCAGAGAAAATATAAATATCTTGCTATCAACTGCTCAAGTCCGTGCCTGAATTCTATCTCTCTAGAATATTCGATATGAGACAGAAAGTTCTCATTTTTTTTTTTCTATATGGCTTCGCACGGCTTGTGCATTTAGCCAATGTCAAGTGTTAAAATGTTTACAAATACTATAGCACTCGTAGTCAACGTAATAAATCAAGTCAAAGTAAGTAGCAGTCAAGTCAATCCCCCTTTCCCTATGTTTCAGTAAAAGTGTGGGGATATTAAATTTGGCCAGTTTTTTTAATTGATTATTAACAACCATTACAATTTATAATTAATTAATCACAGATATTTGTCAGGTTTGAAAGAAGCTCGATAGTATAGTGGTTATTGCGTTCAAACTGCGATTGTTGAAGTTGAGCAAAAGGCCGGTCATTGGATGGGTGAACTTGGATTGATAATTCGCAATCTCGGGGTCCTCCGTGCTTCGGAAGGCACTTTAAGCCGTTGGTCCCGGCTGCATCTGTAGTCCTAAGCACTATTCCACCTAAAAGGCCTATGCCCAGCAGTGGGACATTAGTAGACTGATTTCCAATATCTGTGAACTACGCAAAAGGAGTTCTGTTCACACAGTTATTAATATTGAAAATCGATTTCATTAAAAGATAACTTTCTTTCCATCTTTCCTGGCAGTTGTCAACAGCATCATGAATTAAATTCACGCCTATTTCTAGCGACTCAACGTCAGAAAGTTTTAATTCAACCCGGACTGCACTTAATGGGACATGTAAGACGATTCTCACATTGCCACGCACTACGCAGTGGGGTGCGTAGTGGAGCTACGCGCGTGGTTGCGGGTGTGGCGGCGACATCTACACGCCCCATATATAACTAACATAGAGGAAACAATCTTACGCCTCCTCAAGAGATGGCACTACCGGCGCTGCGTTCACAACGTAAGGAAGCCTACATCGCGCAAGTAAAATTCGGCAGCCAACAGTTCATATACACGATGCCCGACCAACATCAGTCGGGTCGCGGCCCCCGAGCTAACATCACCCAGCTCGGAGGAAGATCTTCCCCTTTGGCCTTCCAACAGCGGGGGAGTGCCTATTAGATCTGCATCATCGTGCAGATTTCGCCGTACAACTGCACAGGCGCCTGATCTGCACCATTGCGCGTGAACGCGTTTTCTGTGTGTTGCACTACGCGTGTTTCAATGCAAAGAGAGATATACTTTCAAGCAACACAAAACCATCCATACATGTTGGCCAAGCGAAGGCCAATACCAACTCATAGACAGCATATTTCTCTTGCCTTGTCATCGCTTGGTTTTGCTTGCCTAATTTGCCGAGTAAAAGGAAGCGCCAACGTGTATAGACCCGATTTGGCGTGACTTATCAGCATTCGCTGTCTCTCGCCAACATTTGTTTTGTCAATTTTGTCTCACGTCGTCCACAATAACTGATAGAGCACCAACGTATTGACTGCTCCTCAAAGCTTGTCTATATTGGCCACTTGCATTGGACTTTTTCAAACTTGCTTGACGTCTGGACGGTAGCTCTTGCCTTGCATCAGTTTGCTCACGTTCTCATTGGGTTTAGCTCAGCCAACAGGTATTGGCGGTTTCAGGACACGCACTCCCCAGCGTAGCACGGGAGATGACCCCCACGACAACGGCTAACTAGAGCCGAGGACCGAGTCTCAGAGACGCCCTCTAGTTGAGCCGACCTCCTCAGGTCGAGTGGTCTAGAGGCTCCAGACGGAGAGGAGACACACCCCGTGCCGAGATACCATCCGCCTGGAATATCTCTAGAGGCACTCGCCAATCTCGGCTTGGGGTCCCTCGTATGGGGGTCATCATCCCCACGACAACGGCTAACTAGAGCCGAGGGCCGAGTCTCAGAGACGCCCTCTAGTTGAGCCGACCCCTCAGGTTCGAGTGGTCTAGGTTCCAGACGGAGAGGAGACACACCCCGTGGCGAGATGCCATCCGCCTGCAATACCTCTAGAGGCACTCGCCAATTCTCAGCTTGAGGTCCCCTTAGGATCTCGCCGTCCCCAAACTCGGTGACGCTGTAAAGGTCATCTGCGACTAGGGTTGCGATATCTCAGGATTTGTCCTGAGAAATCCGGATTTTCAGACTCTTCCGAGGGTTGTGTCCGGATTTTGCCAATCTAAGGAAATCTCAGGATTTTTAGAATGTTCAATAACATACAGTTCCTTTTTAGGTACGCAACATCAACAGCCGTATCTTTTTTTTTACATTAACTTACAAGTTTGATTTTTTCACAGTTTCAAGGGACTTAATAAATGGTTTAAATTTAAACCTCCGCGCGTTTCCGAGATAAAGGGTCAAAACAACAGGACTTTTTTTATCAAAATCGGGCATTTTCTCCGGACTCGTAATTTATTCATCTGGTAACCTGTCTGCGACCAACAGCATACACACTTTAATAAAAATGGGAGATGCGGTGCAGTGTACGAATCACCTTATTCAACTAACCGCGAAACTCTCATCACAAGTTTCATTCGGTTACCGCTAGCCTGTACAGAGGAATAATCAAACCGGAAAACTTGAGTTAATGGTAGTTAAATATAAAAGTAATAACATACATTAAATAAAACTAGTTTTTACGGGTTAATGCACGAAACTTTATTTATTTATTGACGTTTCGCAGCCTTTTCAGGTCTGCATTGTTTGCATAATTTAACATAAGATGGAGATAGAAAGCCTCTCTTGAGTTTGTTTCGCCGGTTCTTCTCAGGAAGGTCTCCCAATTTTGGAACCGGTGGTAGTTTACGGTAGTTAGGGTCAAATAAATAAACTCAAAATTACAAACAAGAATTTTAAATAAAATACTTTATTAAGTAAATTAAATAATAAATTCATACATAGACAATAAAATTTTAAAATTCTTCCAATGAAATATCCGAACGCTCAATATAAGTCTTTCGAAGGTAGCTCGACAATTTTAAATAAAAAATCATTATTCTGACGATGCAGACCTGAAAAGTCTGCGAAACGTCAATAAATAAATAAAGTTTCGTGCATTAATCCGTAAAAACTAGTTTTATTTAATGAGTGATGTGCGTGAAAACCTAAGAAACAAATATAATAACATACATGTACAGAAATACATATTTCCACGCCAACAAAATATAAATATAGTTAGTTCATCATCAGCTTATTAATGTCCCCACTGCTGGGGCACAGGCCTTCCCTATGGATGGAATAGGGAGATTGGGCCATGACCCACCACGTGGGCCCAGTGCGGATTGGTGGGTGCTAACGACTGCAGATTTAACGTGCCTTCCGAAGCTCGAGATAGTAAATTTTTGGTCACCCATCCAATGACTGACCACTGCGAAAGTTGCTTAACTTCAACGACCGCAGCCGGAGGCGCTAACCACTTGCGCCATCGAGCTCCTCGAATATATATAGCTCCTCGAATAAATATAGTTAGTTATACTTATAGAAAATTGAAAAAGCGACGCGGTTTTCACGCCAAAATCTTTAAACCGATTTTGATGAATTTGTAGTATATGGTGTGATAAATTGGGAATAAATGAAACGTCCAACTTACAGCTGACTCCGTCCGTCAATGTAATCCCATAAAGCACATATATACACATTAACAAATAGAAGGCGAAGACGGTACAAGATATAAAGTCCAAGCACAGCACTAGAAGAATACAGTCAGAAAGATAGGCGATAGATAAACAGTTTATAGAAACGAAAAGCACAATTATATAAAGCGTACAGATCTAAGTATATAAGCGAGCTAAGAGAAGCGTGCGCTCCGCGTCGTAGTTCAGTCTCGACTGGTTTGGTAGACAGCGCGGTGGCGCGCGCGCATCTCTAGTACATAAGATAGACAAAAGAATTATGTTACAAGGCTATCCGCTAGTGCGTAGGGCGTGTCGATAATTGTTATCGATATATCGACAAACCAGTACACCATGATATGTAATGAAAATATAATATTGTTAATATTATTATAGTACTTATTATAAATTCTATATTAGATATTAATAAATATTATTAGATATAAGATGTAAATATATAGTGTAAGATAGTTAGTGTTACGGTTTTAGAATATAAGTTACTTTGTATTTTATTATAATGAATAAATTTAAATAATATTTTATGTGTACAGTGTAAATATAGTTTGAGGATGTATTCACACCTCAAAGTAGCCTACAAATTTAATCAGCTCCATTCTTCCTTAAGAAATTCGCTCATTTTATGTATACCTTTTTTAGGGTTCCTTAGTCCTGACAAGGAACCCTAATAGTTTCGTTATGTCCGTCTGTCCGTCTGAGAGCTGTAATTTTGTGAAGATATGTATCACGCCGACAAATGGTAGAATTAAAATTTTAAACATTTTTTTAGGGTAGCTATTTAACCTGGGGTTGTTTTTTTTCATCGTCTATTCTATCGTGTGGAATATCTTTGAATAGGTCCTTTAAAAATATTTAAGGGTTCCTAAAACTATTTTTCGATTTAGGGACCGGTTTGCGAAATATTGAACTCTAAAGTGCTAATGGTATCAATTCTGGCAGGATCTCTAAACTTAAAACTAAATCAGTCTCTCTTTTTCATTCTGTATAGGGAATGACAGGGATACACTGTTGTCGAATTTTAGTTTAGCTTTAGAGAAGCATGTCAGAATCGATACCAATATTTGTTCGAGTAGGTTGTTCCTCACTCTCTAAAAGCTAAACTATTAGCTTGAAAAAATCATGATAATAATAATAATTTCATGCACTTTGAAGGAAAACTAACGGTTAAAATAGATTTGTTAGTTTTAAAGTAATAGTCGTTCAACATTGGTAAAAGAAAATTTCTTACCTATTCAAAATTCCTTTGAAGAAAACATTAATAAATGTAGATTTTGTAGCGTAAAATTTAGCATTAAAAACAAAATAAAAAAAAACTATTTAAAAACCAAAATAATATATCATTAGTTCCAAATAGTTCCATAAAGCTACCGCGATTTATTTATTTCCGATACAGAAAATAAAGACTCCTGCTCAAATATATTGTGATAACGACAGGCCACTACGGAACCCAATACTGCACGTGGCACGACACGCACTTGGCCGTTTTTTTTTTAAAGCATATTTCATTTTCCAGGCAAGGCCCAGTGCTGTTCCCAAATGACTCACCGCCACCACCGCGTCCACCGCTCATCGTCACCTCACGACCGCTCACCGAGTCCATATCCCGGAGCGAGCTCAACAATTCATTAGCTCAGTCCAGTCAGCTCAGCAACGTGGTCAGACCGTACCTAGCGAGGATCAAGGACTACAGACCGTACAATTACGCTGTAGCGACCACAGCTCCGTTTGTAGCGGATTACTTGAAACCTGAGAGCAGATATGATTATGCGGTAAGCATTTTATATGGCTGTTGGTATTTCTTCCATTGATCACTGAATCCATATCCCGGAGCGAGCTTAACAACTCATTAACTTATCAATGTGGTCACACCGTACCTAGCTAGGATACAGACCGTACAGTTACGCTGTAGCGACCACAGCTCCGTTCGTAACGGATTATGTGCAACCTGAGAGCAGATACGATTATGAGGTAAGCATTTCACATGGCTATTGGTATTTCCTTCACTGATCACTGAATCCATATCCCGGAGCGAGCTCAACAACTCATTAGCTTAACAATGTGGTCAGACCGTACCTAGCGAGGATCAAGGACTACAGACCGTACAATTACACTATATTATGAGGTAAGCGTTTTACAATGGTATTTCTTTCACTGCTCACTGAACCTATATCCCGGAGCGAGCTCAATAACTCATTAGCTCAGTCCAGCCAGCTCAGCAATGTGGTCAGACCGTACCTAGCGAGGATCAAGGACTACAGACCGTACAATTACGCTGTAGCGACCACAGCACCGTTCGTAGCGGATTACTTGAAACCTGAGAGCAGATACGATTATGAGGTAAGCATTTCACATGGCTATTGGTATTTCTTTCACTGCACTCTGAATCCATATCCCGGAGCGAGCTCAACAATTCATTAGCTCAGTCCAGTCAACTCAGCAATGTGGTCAGACCGTACCTAGCGAGGATCAGTGGTCGGTCATTGGATGGGTGACCAAAAATCTTCTGTCTCAAGTTCTCCATGCTTCGGAAGGCACGTTAAACCGTTGGTTCCGGCAGCATCTGCAGTTGTTAGCACCCGCCATGGGTCATGGCCCAATCTCCCTATTCCATCCATAGGGAATGGCTGTGCCACAGTAGTGAGGACATTAATAGGTTGATGATGATGATGATGAAAAGAGAATTTAGCTCTCAATGGATGGAAGACAAACCGTCTGTCAATAGTTCATTAACATATAAAGGATCGTACTGTCGGATATATGCTAGTGCCAAATAAATTTAACACAATTACGCAAACACTGAATGACTATATAAATTGCCATCATCACGCCTACTTCGCAATTCACTTAACCAAAGATAACTCATGCCTCTCTCAGGTACACTTTGAGCTGAATAATTAGTCAGGCATATATATTTCTTTAAGCATTTAACTGCTAGATTATTAATTAGAAAAAGAAATTATACTAGAAAGACAGCAGACGGGACAGACCAGTACCCTTAGTATGAGTTTGAGCTCACAAAAAACTATCATAGTCATGGTTAGATTTTTTCTTTTTTTTTTTAATTTTTTTTTAGTCTTGTAATTGTACACCCCCTCTTTAATTAAAATTCGTCTCTCCATCCTATGGTTGTCTGGAAGAAATGGCTACATAGCCATAAGACCGCCAATTGTCCACCTATTTAAATTAATGTCCAAACTTTGTACTTTATAATGTGGTGTGTTCAATAAAGTATTATCTATCTATAGTTTTCGTAATTGTAAATTATGTTTCTATGTCCATTTTGGTGAAAAGTAACCAAATATTCTTAAAATTTAAGAAGACGCAAAAGATTAAATGATAGAATTTAAACACTGCTTATTTGTATTGAAATGAAAACAATAAAATCAGTTACCCTTAGTACGAGTACGAGCTCACGAAAACTATCATAGTTTTCGTAATTGTAAACTCGTACTAAGGGTACTGGTCAGCGTTGAATTTTTTCTAGTATAATTTTCTTGTTCTTCTTCTACAATAATTCGTATAAAGTACAGAATATACTACATCTACAATTTGTAAGACAATTACAATAATCTTATTGAGGATCTTCTGGTTCGCTCTGTGATGTGACAGACAACAGTTATCATTGTTATCAGCCATCACTATTGTAGTGCCTCCCATTCTGTGTGACTTGCGATGTTATCGTACGCCTGGGGCCATTAAATAAGCGACTCTACGTAGTTCTATGCCTATGCCAAAAGTTTTTTTTTGTTTATAAGAAGCAGTGCAGACGTTTTGTAGATAATAAACCTAATATTTAAGTATTAATAGACGACTTCCGTGGTCCGTGGTGTCGCTGACTCGAGAGGTCCCGGGTTCGAATCCCGGTGGGGGCCGATGTTTCTGTGATGAACACGAGCTTTTGTACTCCAGTCATGGATGTTTAATATGTATTTCTATATAAATATACTTATATATGTACTGTATATGTATTCTATCAGTTACCCTAGTATCCCATAACTCAAGCCTTACAGTGCTTACTTTGGGGCTAGGCTAATTGGTGGGAGTGTTGGAAATATATATTTATTTATTTATTATTATTAATACCTAATAGAACACTGTTAGTATACTGAATGATACGGCAATCAAAATGTGAGCGGGCGTTCTATTGGTAGGGGCATGATTTTTGTGAGGCACGCCGGGCTACAGTAGTAGGTAGCTAGCAGTTACCGACTCACACTTGGGGTTGGAGGATGGTGTATGTAGGAGTCTTGACGGCGATGTGTGGACTGTAGTTTACGATGAAATAAAACTCCCAGTGTTCTGTATCGAAGAAAATCGGTGGGCGCTGGTAATGGATGGCCGGCGAGGAGTCTTCAGGTCTAGAGTGAACCGCTCGATTCTTCCTGTTCCTTTAAGTAGGAGGGCCTGTGGCTGAATGACATGTCGGATCTTCTTCTTTTTATATGGGCGTGCTGAGCTGGCCAGCGATCCATTACCTCACCCCCGCTATACTTTATTTTTCATTTATTTGTTACATACAATAATCCCGAGCTTAAATCTATACGGTCATACGTTAGGTTATTAAGGAAAATGAAGTTTCACTTCAGATAAATAAATAAATATTTCCGACACTCACACCAATTAGCCTAGCCCCAAAGTAAGCACTATAAGGCTTGTGTTATGGGATGCTAGGGTAACAGATAGAATACATATACTGTACATATATAAGTATATTTATATAAATACATATTAAATATCCATGACTGGAGTACAAATGCTCGTATTCATCACACAAACATCTGCCCCCACCGGGATTCGAACCCGGGACCTCTCGAGTCGGCGACAGCCATGAAACCCGGCGTACAAACCACTCGGCCGCGGAGGTCGTCAATGTGTGTCAGCTTCGTTTTTTTTCGATCCATTTTTACACTATTTTTTTTCGATCCATTTTTAGCATGTTTCATTACTTTTTTACTTGGTATGAAACATCAAGACCTTATCAACAACCATCGATGTTTTAGTGGTAGACAGCTCACTCGCTACACGGGCTGCCTGGATTAATTTCCCAGCCGAGGAAGGGCTTTTTTTTGTTTTAATAGTTTCGCATTTTACAGGTTACCTACCAAAAACCACACCATTTTTTCACTTACTTTTAATTGCACATTGGTGTCGATTCTGGCATGATTCTCTAAAACTTTAAACTAGATTTAACTTCAGTCTCTCCTTTTCATTCTGCATAGAGAATGACAAGGATACAAATTTAAGAATTTAAGTTTACGTTTAGAAAATCATGCCAGAATCGACACCTTCATCTAGACAATTTAGGCTGTGGTGCTAAAAGCCGCAACTACCTTTTATAAAGGCAATCCTTTAACGTTGTACAGCTGTACCAGCTATCTTCGCGTTTGGGCTCTATCACCACTTAACATGAGATGGGGTATAGTCATTTGTCTGCCTAGCTATAAAAAAAAGGTAAACATTTATGCAGATTAAATTAGCTTCGCCCTTCTCATGGCCCAACCGCGGTACCAAAGGGAGTTCCTATGAAATTATTTTTCCCCACTCATTCAGATTTGTGTCGATAGAAGGTTGTGTTCGCTTCGGAGTTCGCCGCTATTCATATCGGTCCATTTATAAGGACTCAGGGTAGGTTGTACACACGGCTTGTTTACCGGTTAATTTTGAAACCTAAATCGGTATCAAGTACATTGAGAGCGTTTTATTAAGGTTTGGCTCTACCATAACCTTAAAAAAACCGGTTTTCCTAAAAAGTGAAATCAAATAGGTTTTGAATCAATTTAGCGGTTTTTAAAGGGTTTCATTTCGCTTTTACTGACGGCAGCGCCTTCGCCGTTTCAATTCAAATTTATAATGATTTTTTGTCAGTTTCTTTCCAACTTCAGAGCGAGTGAGTGAAGTAGTGGGTCAGTACACAACTTCAAAATAATACTGAATAACTTGACTCACTAGACGCTAGCAAACGTGTCAATAAATGCATCAATCTCTGAGCATTAACAAGTTGTGACTTGATTAGTTCAAACAAAACAAACTTCAGGCGATACCAACACGTGCACGTGTCGCTCTGGATTAAACCGGTTTGTTAAGGTTTAGGTACCGCTTTCATTTCGGGGGCGCTCCGAACGAAACCTTTACAAAAAACCGGTATTAACCTTTATTTACCGGTATTTTCGAAACCGGTTACAAGCCCTGGTTGTACAATATGTTCTTTTGAATGGCCCCTTTGCGTGTTCAACCTGATAGATACTATTGTTCTATGTGCTATACATATTTCATTTCTTAAATTTCTCTTAGGCATTACTAAGATAAGTACAGAGCAGACCAAAAATTGTCTCTTATATGGTTTATAGGGTTCCGTACTTCGAAATAAAAAAACCGAACCCTTATAAGATCACTTTGTTGTCCGTCCGTCCGTCTGTCAATACCCTTTTTCTCAGGAACGCTTGTAGGTATCGAGCTGAAATTTATATCAAATACTCAGGGTATTGTCAATAAGAGCTATGAAAAAATCAAACTTCTAAGCCAACGGAATCAAAATATACAGCCATTTATGCCGCAAATTTCCGCAAATTTTTGAAACTCGCAAGGGAATCAAAACCTACAGGATACTTCCCGTGAACTTAGGATCTTGAAATTCGGTATGAAGCAATCTCTTATAGCACAGATAAATCAAAAATTTCGAAAACCATATTTTTTTGGTATATCATATGTATTTATTTAATAACTAGCTGTACCCTGCCACGATACACACTAGGTTTTGCATGATATGAGGAGCTCGATAGCGCAAGTGGTTAGCGCGTTCGGCTGCGATCGTTGAAGTTAAGCAACTTTCGCAGTGGTCGGTCATTGGATGGGTGACCAAAAATTTACTATCTCGAGTTCCTCCGTGCTTCGGAAGGCACGTTAAGCCGTTGGTCCCGGCTGCATCTGCAGTCGTTAGCACCCGCCAATCCGCACTGGGCCCGCGTGGTGGGTCATGGCCCAATCTCCCTATTTCATTCATAGGGAAGGCCTGTGCCCCAGCAGTGGGGATATTAATAGTCTGATGATGATGATGATGACTAAAATCTAGTGCAAGGTTTAGCCACCACATCTGCTGCAATGTGTGAAAGGAGTTCAGTTTCCAAGATGAACAGAATAATTTCTATCAGGTAGTCACTCAAAATGGTTGAGAAATGAGAAACAAAACAAAGAATACATTTCATATAAGTTTAATTTTGCAATACTTGTGGATATACAATATTTTTTTGTTTTTCCACTGTCTACGTAGTTAAAAAGACTATCTGGTTTGCCGACTCGGGAACACGATTATTAAAAAAAAATCATTTCAATAATAAATGTTTTGTTATTGATTAATTATTAAACTAATATTTTACTTATTTATTTAAATAATTAATATTTAATAAATAATAATTGCAATAAAATAATATTTTTACTGTCCATCTTTGATATAAAATATAACCTCTACTTACGATTTGGTGAAAGGCGCAGTTCGATCACAACACTATCACACCAAAAATTCTTGATTTAAGTGAATATTTAATTCAGATTGTATAATAATCAGAATCTGATGCATTTTTTTTGTAAATAAACAATGTAATTGGGAACGAAATTGTTCCTCATGTGTCTGTGTCATTACTATTGCGGTTGTCAGCGAGTGTTTTCCTCGCTTCTGGCAGATGGCGCGGTCAATGGTACACAACGCAGCTGATCGTTAAAAAAACTGTTTTCTCGCGGGCGCAGATATGTGACTGATGCAAAAAATAGATAAAAACCATCCTTGATGCTGATTTTATATCATGTTAAAGGACATCGACGAAATCGGCCCTAGCATGCCCAAAAGAATGTCCTTTACTATTATTTTTCTATTATTTTTTTAACTTATTAGCAATTAATCATAGTAAACGGACAATCTGTTTAAAAAAATAAAAGTTCTGTTACTAGATACTACAGTCTGTTCATCCAACTTGGTACTCCTTTTTATTGAAAATACAGCATTAAAAATCAACTGATAACTGGATTCAATAGGTTTCAGTGTATAATAACGATTTATTTTAATAGTTTATTGGCTTCGTTAATATTTTATTATTAAATGGGAGATTCTGTTAAAAAGTTGTGCCAAGATTGTTTACCTTAGTAATGTAATATAGGCGACCATAGGTATTTATCAACATAAAAATAGAACTAGGTACCTTAGTTAATAATACTTATTACTAGTATTTATATTATATTTATAAAAAGATTATTTCTGAAATTATCTAAAGATAGTTTATACTCCCATCCCATGTAATATCTGTTTATTTTTATGAAAATTATAATGATAACCAGGTACATACCTAATTACCGATAGTAAAATATAGAAACAGGTAAATGGAAAGACTGAACATTTCATTTGAAAAGAAATCTATCATTACCTACTACAGGTAGGTATAGGTATCATAGGTGCCAACTGACAACACTCATAAATCAATATGAATATAAGCATTTATTATTTTTATTATTAATTGCATTTTATGTTCATTTAATGCATATTATTTAAGTGCTTACATAGAGGTAAACACTAAATCTATTCAGAATATATAAAGTGTAGATCTTTTACGATTAAGTATAATAATTATAACCTCAAAATCTAGTATATTCTATAGTAGGCCATGGTTCCTCAAGTTGTCCGTATCTCAACAAATGCTTATTTAGAGTTTATGAATGATTCTGAACACAACTAGCATTTTCTCATTGCTGGGCGTTCTAGGGCATTCAATGTATGGGGAACGAGCAATGTCCTTTCAACTCAATCGGTGCAGAACTTTTTGAGTTTTTGAAGCGTACACAAACCAACATTACATTTTTATATATATAGATTATTACAGACCTATATATAGGTTTGTACGGTTCTGACTCGCTCTTGGACGGTTTTTAAACTATATTAATCTTAGATTAAAATAAAAGGGAAGATATGGTACGCTCATACTAGCATCAAATAAAATATGATCCGACTCAACTACATAAGCAACTCTCACACACGCACACTTCTGTAAATAACATTCAATCGAGCGAGCGAGACAGAACTCTATGCTTCAACGCAGAGCGAGCGAAACGGCAAATCAGCATCCGAGTGCTAACGGCTCAGTTGTATTGTTGTCCTTTTTCTTGATGAGCGAGCGAGACAGAACTCTATGCTTTAACGCAGAGCGAGCGAAACGGCCAATCAGCATCCGTGTGCTAACGGCTCAGTTGTATTGTTGTCCTTTTTCTTGATGAGCGAGCGAGACAGAACTCTATGCTTCAACGCAGAGCGAGCGAAACGGCAAATCAGCATCCGAGTGCTAACGGCTCAGTTGTATTGTTGTCCTTTTTCTTGATGTGCGAGCGAGACAGAACTCTATGCTTCAACGCAGAGCGAGCGAAACGGCAAATCAGCAACCGAGTGCTAACGGCTCAGTTGTATTGTTGTCCTTTTTCTTGATGACAAAATGGCGATTACGTAAATAACATTCACGACAAACCGTGATTTCTGAGAAAAAAAATGATTTTACAGTTTTACGAATGAGAAGTGTTGCCGAGGCATTTGTTATTTTGATTTTGAAGTATTTATTTTGCTTTATAAAAGCATCGAAGGTATTGTTTTATCTTTATAACACAGAATATACGCAATATTGTTATATTGAGTGTACATGCAACGTGTTTGAATGTCTAATTGTGACTACAGCGAATTGTGGTCATGCACCACAATTTAAGCGGATCACTTTTGAGCCGCGAGTGCCGTATCTACCCTTTTTGTTTTAATCTAAGATATTAATATTATAAACTACTCTTAATAGCTGCCAGCCGTTGGCCTGGAAAAGCAAGACAGTCCGTTTCCTACAGTAGAATAGTGGTTAGTGCATTCCCCTGATTGCAAAAGACGTCAAGTTCGAGTCCAACCTGATTTTTCAAGTAAAATTTTCTTTAATCATCTTAATCAAGCAGAGTAATTAATAAAGAGTCATACATATATTTTTTAAACATTTAATAGCTAGATGTTTATATTTAAAAATAATACTAAAAAAAACACACGGACCAGGAAGCAGGCGAAACTCGACGGCCTTGCAACCAAAAAAATACTAGGGAAAATTAGACACGGACACTTGGGGCCGCGGTAGCATAATGGTCAGTGCATCCGCCCGGGTAGCGGAGGGCGCGGGTTCGAGTCTCGTCTGCTGCCTAGTCACGTGGAATTTTTCTAGTAAAGTTTTCTTTAGACTTAAATAACAAAGAGCTTTATTATTATAATTTATATTGAACAAGCGGCCCACCCTCGCTTCGCTTCGGTGTAGAGCTGAAGTGTAGACTACAGTTTTTGTTCTCAGGCTTGTATTATACACAATGACATTCATATATGATTCTTCTTATACCTGCATGCAAAGTCTCAGCCCGATCGGTTTAAAATTGACAAAGTTTCATACAAACTTTCATTCCCTATTTTATTCCGTTGGGGATAGAATTGATCAAAATCCTTTCTTAGCGAATGCCTACGTCATAACATCTACCTGCATGCCAAATTTCAGCCCGATCCGTCCAGTGGTTTGGGCTGTGCGTTGATAGATCACTATGTCAGTCACCTTTGAGTTTTATATATATATCGATAAAGCGCATTTTTTCACTTTTTTATCTTTATTATTCCTGGCATTTCGGATCTCTCTCATGTTTATTAGACACTATGTGAGATAAATAATAGTGGAAATTACCTTGGCTTTTCCTAATAATCATAAATCCTTAACGGGCTGGTGGTCACATGACTACTGTATCGCATTTAATATCCATTCAAAAGTATAAGTGATCTTAATTATAATAGATAATAGGGGTGATGACGGGGTACAGTAAACGAAATTCTATTTAGTCCGTCAGTTAGATGATCAAAAAATAATGGACACGTATTTTTTCTTTGGGCAATTAACCAAAAAATGACAAAGTTATAGCGCGTCAAAGTTTGGGAGTAGGGGCTCGTGACGTCACTTTTAAGTGAAAATTGTACCGAAACGTGACGTCATGCGACTTTTCAAATCAATATATCTCTGCAATGTTTATATTATGTGAAAAAAGAAAAAATACGTGTCCAATACTTTTTGATAATCTACCTGATAAACGAAGAAAAAAAAATAGTCATCATCCCTATTGTCATCATTTCTTAAATTTTTCGTGTGAGTGTAAAACATATTACAAGTAAAATAGCTAAAGAAATTTATCAATTACGCACCGTTTCACAAAAAATTCACACACCTACAATCTGGGGTCCTATAAGAGAGGCGTGAAGAAGCATTTTCGCAGGCCGGTAAGGTGAATGGGGAGCTCGATGACGCAAGTGGTTAGCGCGTTCGGCTGCGGTCGTTGAAGTTAAGCAACTTTCGCAGTGGTCGGTCATTGGATGGGTGACCAAAAATTTATTATCTCGAGCTCCTCCGTGCTTCGGAAGGCACGTTAAGCCGTTGGTCCCGGCTGCAACTGCAGTCGTTAGCACCCACCAATCCGCACTGGGCCCGCGTGGTGGGTCATGGCCCAATCTCCCTATTCCATCCATAGGGAAGGCCTGTGCCCCAGCAGTGGGGACATTAATAGGCTGATGATGAAGGTGAATGGACCGGGAAGCTGCTGGGTACGGAGTCGTGGTAGAATCCCTAACGGACCCCGTAGCTTCGCATTAAGCAGTGTAGAAGGTATTCGCAGGACTTTTTAGCGGATATTATGCTGTAAAGCGCCCGTAAGAGTTGCGGGGTCCTCAGTGGTCAGCTACTGAGTGAGTGTGAGGTCCGTTCGGCGGTGTGCCTCTTAAAGGCGCCGTCGTCTGTAAAAAGATTTCTTACCGGCGTTATAAAAAAAAGGGCCGGTAAGGTGAGGATGGTTGGTGTGGCAGTTTATAACTGCTGTACCAGCTATCTTCGCGTTCGGACTCTATCACTACCAGTGTTACCAACCCTTATTTACCCTAAGTATTTTTTAAATTCACCTAAAATCCCCTAAATATAGAAATTTATATGTACCTACTTATCTTATTACCTAAATTCTTTCGTTGCTCATAAATTAAAAGGTTACATATTTAGTTACAGTAAATTATTTTATTGAATAAATTCATTTTTCGAATGGAAAAGCAAACGAAAATAAGCCGACAGGCGGTTAAATCTTATTTAGCTGTTTTGATTGGTGGAAGGCAAAGAACTTTAGTCCATACAGCCTTAGGAAACAACCTGCCACACAGTGAGTTCAGTCGTTTCACATCGTGCTGCGTTCCATTCTACGCACAAAACTGAAAGAAAACACATGCTTTGTTTTTCGATTTAATTGTAAGTTTTGTTAAAAGCCCCTAAAAGAACCCCCAAAAAAATCCAGCCCCTAAAAAAGTCCCTTTTAACACTTCTAGCCCCTAAATCTGGGGGCAAAACCCCTAAGTTGGGAACCCTGATCACTACTTAACATCAGGAGGGGTAGAGTCATTTGCCTACCTGGCTACAAAAAAAAAGAAATAAAAATAAAATGACATTCAAAACAGAGACAAAACACTATATAACTCTAAGGCAAAGCTTAACTATTTCTGATTATTAATAATAAGGGTAACGTATCACACAAATATTATAATAAAGGCGAAAGTTCGTCAGTATGTATGTTTGTTACTTCTTCACGCCTAAACGGCTGGAGCGATTTTAAAAAAAATTGGTATGGAGTCTGCGGACAATATCTCTAATAAAGTACGGGTAGAGAGAGTCTGTGCGGAAAGAGAATGGGCGTGGCGAAAAACTGAACTAACATTAAGATTTTTATTTGGCAATCAAACCCAGCAATCAAACGTCAAAGTTTTGTATTGATACGGATTTGTTTGTTGTTGTGATTTCTTGCGGTTTCTTGTATTTAATCATGTCTAAAAGGGGGGGTAAAATCTTACAAATACGGTAGAAAAGCACTACAGCGCCCTCCAATCTAAATCCCATTCTCTTTCCGCACAGACTGTAACCCCGCGGGGCACAGCTAGTTAGTAATAAATAAGCAAGTATGTTATGTCACAGGATCGAACGCAGTTGCCTCCGATCTACAAGGCTCTCTCCAACCACGCAAAGCAAGAAGTCATCGATGTGCGCAGACAAAATCTGAAAAACCAACAAAATTACGAGGTAAATTTACTAACCTAATTAAAAATTTCAAATTAAATAATTATGGCTTAATTTATATGCGGTAGAAGTAGGAACGAGGGGTTTACCAGCATAATCTCTGTATCTATACATATAATAAAACTAGCGGCCCGCCCTCGCTTCGCTTCGGTGTATAGCTGAAGTGTCTAAGTTTTCGTTCTCAGGCTTGTATTATACACAATGACATTCATCTATGATTCTTCTTATACCTGCATGCAAAGTCTCAGCCCGATCGGTTTAAAATTGACAAAGTTTCATAGAAACTTTCATTCCCTATTTTATCCTCTTGCGGGTAGAATTGATCAAAATCCTTTCTTAGCGGATGCCTACGTCATAACATCTACCTGCATGCCAAATTTCAGTCCGATCCGTCAAGTGGTTTGGGCTGTGCGTTGATAGATCACTATGTCAGTCAGACACCTTTGAGTTTTATATACCTCTAAATAGAAGATAGATGGTAGGAAACTCAAAACTGTACATTGAATATTTTTTTAAAAGAATACTTGGGGTGTGATCTACAATCGATACCGAAGCCAAAAGTATAGTTTTTAGAATTTTTGTCTGTTTGTCTATGTATCTATGTCTATGTATGTCCGGGATAAACTCAAAAAGTACTGTATGAATTTACTTCCAATTTGGCACGAAGATTATTAAGAAGTCGGGTCAACATATAGGCTACATATTGTCACGCTAAATAACTAATTTCACGCGTACGAAGTCGCAGGCGGTCGCTAGTAAACTTCTAAAAGACTGGAGGTTTGTTGATGACACCGGCGTTGGAGATGGTTTGAGTAATGTACAAACCGTGCCCGTGAACAAGTTAAGCCGGCACTGGCCGGGGAAAAAATCATCTCGTTATGAAGCTTTAGGAACGCCACTTTATTCAATTCAATTCAATTCAAAATATTTATATTAAAAAGGGATCATAATACAACTCCTTTGAATCGTCCATATTTTTATCCTACCACCCGTTAAGTTTTTTTTGTTTGCGTTTTTCACAGCGTCAAATAGTGTAATAATATTTACAAAATATTATATTGCTACAGTGGAAATTACAATATTAAGTCATCTCTATCATAATAGGCATGATGACGGGGTGAAGTAAACGAAATTCTATTTAGTCCGTCAGTTAGATGATCAAAAAATAATGGACACGTATTTTTTCTTTGGGATATCAACCAAAAAATGACAAAGAGCAGAAAAGCGCGTCAAAGTTTGGGAGTAGGGGCTCGTGACGTCACTTTTAAGTGAAAATTGTACCCAGACGTGACGTCATGCGACCTTTCAAATCAATATATCTCTGCAATGTTTATATTATGTGAAAAAAGAAAAAATACGTGTCCAATACCTTTTGATAATCTACCTGATAAACGAAGAAAAAAAATAGTCATCATACCTATTATAGAAATGCTTATTATAGAAATAGACATTTGGGACAGATTAACCCCAAGAACTTTTGTCTGAAATATAATCAGATACCTTATAATATACTTTGTTCATAAGAACTGTTTTATAGTATTTTAAATTTATAAAGGAAAGCCTAAACTTACAAGATGTTCTTACCTTCTCATAATTAATAATTTAGTGAATAGAGTACGAACCGCTGAGCGGGTAAATGGTTGCCTTTGTTGTAATTTATTAAGAAGGCTACATTCTTTAGCAAGCACAAATAAAGTAACCAGGCTTGTCCTATCTTTTTTTGAGAAATTATTTACGACACGTTTCCGAAGATAAGGATCGTTAAGTTAATATCAATCCAATTTAGAATTTAGGTTTTATTTTTTATTTGTAGCTTAAGACTACTTGATGTATAAATCTAATCCCACCAAAAACAATTCTGTAAAAAACTAGCCAAGTCTCGATGGAGCTGCTTGTTTATCTCTAAAAAGTAATGAAATCTAGACAAAGTCGTGCCAAGTCTAAGGTTCCTTACTGCGATTTCTTTATTATTATAGTTCATGTTGTGTAACTTCCTTTATCCTTAGGATCCTTAGGATTCCCCTAATTTTTTTATATAAAATTTTGGGAAGTTCTGCTGGCCTACCTTTAATGTTTTTAAAATAATAATTTCCAGGTAGAGGAGCCATATCATCATCGCCATAATACAAATTACAAGGATGATCCCAGCAATGATGACTACGATCAGGTAAAAAAAATCTTTTTCGGATTAAGCCAAAATATTTTTAGTTGTAGAAAGGTAAAACGCCATTTCGTTTGACTTCTCCTAAATCTTATTTGCTTAAACCTATTAATGTATTCAATTATAAGTAGATATTGTACCTAATAAAGACTCTGATAGGTTTTTAATATTTCTAAATAGGTCTATTTGGTCTTGAATTTTACATGATTCTGTATATATGTGATGGACTAAGTGATTAATCGAGCATTATTCATAATGTCCGGGCAATATGAGTAAAGCCACATTTACCTTTTTTTCTAAGTGTTGAGCCCATACTATTTTTTATTTGCCAAGATCTCAAATGGCAAAACAAATTGGCGAGTCATCTGTCATTTTGACAATAGTACCAACGTTTTGAATTTATCCATACTGCCCGGTACAAGCGATAAATTCAAGCTATCTCAAATACTGACTTATTACATGGACCACGAGCCATCGGACATTATTAATAATGGCCGGGCAATTTGATAAAAAGGTGAGTTTAGATTGTAATTAATCACTTTACATTACTGGGCATTATTCATACTGCCCGCATTAATCACTTGGCTCATAACATATATACCTACATAAAAGTATTTTTTTGATAGTGCATCTTTTAAGTATAGATTGACATTTTGAGAAAGGTGAAAATGTGACTTTACTAATAAAAACTAAACTGTTATTGATGAAACAATGAAAATGTATATAGTCATGACTGACGCTTATCATTGTTATTAATAAATTCTTAAAAACTCTTGCTTCACAGAACAAGAACTATGCCTTCTCCTATACAGTAAAAGATCAGAAGACTGGCGATGATTTTTCTCATTCCCAACACAGTAGTGGCTCAGCAACGAACGGAGAATACAGGGTTCGACTCCCCGACGGAAGAATGCAAATAGTTTCTTACACAGCCGACGAAAATGGCTACCAAGCCGACGTGAGATATGACGATGAAGACAAAACAGCCGCAAATTCAATTGACAACAATTTTAACAGTTACAACGGTGACAGGAACCATAATAACGGAAACAGTAACAACGATCACGATTATATAGAAATCAAGAATCGTTACAACGATTTTAACGATAAAAATGATTATCAACAGAAAACTTATAAAGCTGATGTAGAAGAATACAAACCGCCAGCGAATAAAGACTATTACAACCAATACACAGATTTGTCCAAAGAATATTACAATGATGATTTGTCTACGGAATATGAAAGTAAAAGCTACGATTACGCACCGCACAAGAGTAAATTCGCATCTTTCGTTGACAATAAAAATGTTGATCCTAACAAATTCGTTTCCAATAACAATGTAGCTTTTGGTTCTACTGTAACACCGTCGTACGAGCAACTCAAAGACTTATTGGTGACTAAGAAAGCATATAATACAGTGCAGCCATATTTGAGCAATATTCCCGTTGAAATTAACGTACCATCAACGACGCCCAATTACGATTTCACCACAGAAAGAGTAGTTCTTATTGGAGGAAAGAAACCTAGTTTGTATACTAGTGTGAGTAGCAGTTTAGCTCCAATAATCAACGCTGGTTATGTAACAGCCACTCCTTCGCCAGTCACTTACAATAATTACGTGGTATCATCAACGCCCAGAAACTATTTAGTCTCAACGATAGATAGGTTGAGAAACCAAGTGGACTTGTCCGGTTCGAAACCAGTGTTGTCCAACAGTTATATCGATAGGATAAATAAATATTTGCGTTTCAATTAGTCGATATTATGAGTTTTTCGATTAACAGTTTCTGGTGCCTACTCAGTAAGAGATTTTAGTTAATATGTTATTGCTGGAATAATTTCACGTTATATTTATTTAAGAATAATAACTGCATTGAATTAAAAAACCACATTATTTATTTATTCCGAATTAGCAGCATTAAACAATGACTGCATCATAGGTATCAATAATATTATTATATTTGACGAATAACGTATTTCTGCTCAATATTACACAAATTCATGGCCCTGCCAAATTGTCCCAATTAAAAGCAAAAATAATAAGTAATATATATATATTACTATTTTTTATATGTATATATTTTATATATATAGTGTCATCATCATTAGCTTATTAATGTATACATTATTGCATTTGGCACTGCAAACCTCGTAAAGAATATATAGAGAGATATTACATAGGTAGCTATGTATATGATATGTGATTTCTGAAATGATATATAATTAACAACTATATAAAGTGTTCCGGGTTTTAATATAAATGTTTCAAATAAATCCTTGATAGTTATGTGTGTAATAACGAATTAAGACTAGAGTGATAATATTAGAATGAAAGTGAAGCAAAAAGTTACCATTAGATATTTAGGTAAATATACTTAATTATTTATTTTGTATTTTTTACACGATTGTATACAATAAAAATAATGTTATTTTCTATAATGTTTTCTTTAATATGTATCTGAATAATTTAAGTTTCTCCCGTACTATAAATAGTAAAAATTAAGGATATTTGTAGCATAATTTTTGTACGAATGCATGAACATCATATATAACTAGCGATACATTGAAAATCAAAATACATAACGCACTGGTTAAAATTATAGTTCCCTTTTTAGTCAATTATAGTCCTCTTTTATCTGCATATCAAAATTTATCAAAATCTACCTACCACACTTAAGTCCTGAAATCGTAAGAAACCGACACACGAGTGAATATCGCAATAATAACATTAGTATTGAATTCTTAATAATGCCATTCATAATATGACTTCTGAATGAAAATACAAAGCATAAAAAAGAAAAACCTTTTGCATTTGTGAAGAAAAATAAGTCATTTCTTAAAATCTATCATGTCATATCGTCTCTGATCTCATTTCAGAAAATCCAGTTGTTTCAATGGATGGAAGTAAGTATATTCATGGTGAATCACAAGTAGGTACATATAGGTATATAATAGAGAGCTTCCATCGAAGATAAGGTGCCTCGCTGCGGTCTACGGGCTGTCGATTATTGCCGACGATTCTTATAGTGCTGTGACAGTGTCGATATCAAGAGATAAAAAAAACTGGGTTATAAAGCAAGTTTTTGTTGATATAAGGGTGGGTAAACATGGCGGTGGATAAATAAATAAACAAACAAATACACAAGCACATAATTTTAAGATTTTTAAACATGTAACTGCTTGATGTTTAAATTTAAAGAAAAGAGTTGAGAGTAAATTCGAGTCCCGTCTGCTTCTTGGTCCACGTGATTTTTTTTTTCTAGTTATATTTTCTTTAAACAAGCATATGTTCGCCTGATGGTAAGTGATCACCATAGTCTACTACCGTTTGCGATACCAAAGCAGCTCTTGCCCGCTGCCTACCCTGACTCTATCCTCTACCCCTTGGAAACTTGGAATTTTATCCACCTTAAACACTTCTCTACGGTGGAGCTTACTTCCCTAGACGCGCGCTCCAATTTAACTGGGAAATCCACTATTGCCTACCTCTTAAGATTTTTTTCTGATCTTAACAGAACACTGCAACACTACACTATTTTGAAGTGTTATGTTTCTTCATTATCAAAAATAGGGTGGTACAAATCAGCAAGAAAAAACTAAAAGTGGAGTAAGTAAAAATACTGCATGAACGAAAAGTTATTTGGCAGCAGCGGAGATATCAAATTCAAATGAACTTGGAAAATCCTTTGTGGTTTACTTCTTTAATGCTTAGCTCTTGAAAATTTTCTAATTTTCAGATATTTTCAGCGTGTATAAATAATAGGGTATTTGACAGTATTAAAAATAAAGTGCCAATTGTTAGCATCTGTGTTTAGAATGAATAATGGCAAGGATTTTTACTATTTTTACAGAAAAAATATTCATAATTTTACTAAAAATCCACGAAAAAGATAATACTTGTCTTATCTCATTGTCACGTGACCAGAAACGCTTGGGATTGGCGGAGCCCAAAATGACGTCACACGCAAGTAAACTTCCGGTTAAAGTGACATTACCTTGTATCGTTTGACGTTTTAATAACAGTCGTGTGACGTCACACACTAGTGAGACGCCATATTGTCCAGAGAACGTTTTCGCGGCAACTTGAAAACGGAGTTTTTAATTTGGATTAGTATTACTAAAATACACAACAGAATGATGAATATCCACTTTCTACGGACTCTATAATTTAGTCAATAACGTGAGATCGTTTTCTAAAACTTGTCAAATATCCTATTTTCAATCCTCTTATCTATCGTAGTCCATCGATATACAAAGTCGATGTTCACGAATGCTTGTTACATCACTTTTTTAGGATGCAACTCACGTGTTCCGCTGAGTTGAGCCTGGCGCCTCGCCAGCGCCTCCTATCCGTTCCGGGGCACATGCATGCGATACATACGAATATTGCGACAATACACCGCCAATGCGAACCTTCTGATTGGGGGTGAGTCCTGAGTCCTGCTGTGCCTTTCCTTTCAGCTGAGATTTTATTTGGTCGGTTATTAGCCTATTTACTTCTTGACAAGCGATCGTCTGCGGGTTTGCAAAGGCTAAATTTATTTTGACCGGATAATATATACTGTATATGCCGTTCGGTTACAAGTAGAGATACCTCAGGAATCGTCCCATGGTTTCGACTATTATAGGTTCCATGTCACACATTTTATTATCTAACATCATCGATATTCATCATATATTTTATTATGTATGGAAACACACAATTTCAAAAATATCACACACTAGTCATCATTTTGTAAATATGTATTATAATTCCATCTGTACTGAAAATCACTATTCCAGAGTGCTGGACACTTACCGGCATTTCTCTATATTCTGTTATTTATTTGTTTTCATTAATTTTGCTCCGATTTTATCTATTTTTAGTTTATTTATTTTATTGACATTTGTGACAACTTAATGTTTTTTATCCGTTGCCATGGCTAAAAGTGAAAGGTGCGCAGATGAGATTTCGCACAAAACCGTAACGAGGTCATTTGTTCAGTAGATTTTACTCCTCACATTTTTCTCATACCGGGCCCCTTATATATGCAAATCGATTCTTAAGGAGTAAACTCCAAAAAAACAAACGTTTTGAAGTTAATATGTTATAAAGTTTATTCTACTAGTTGCTAGTAAAAGAAAAAAACTATAAAGATAATTTTACTAGAAAAAATTCCACGCAGACCAGGCAGCAGACGGGACTGGAACCTTTGTTTTCAAATGTTTAATACTTTTAAACATATTCATTTGACATTTTGGGTACCTATAATGCGCAGAGATTGCGCTGCCATGAAGCCTAAGAAGTACTAGAGAAAATTATCACCGCTATCAGGGCCGCGGTAGCATAATGGTCAGTGCATCGCCCGGATAGCGAAGGGTGCGGGTTCGAGTCCCGTCTGCTGCCTGGTCTGCGTGGTTCGATTTTTTTCTAGTAATGTTTTGTTTAGATTCAAACATCTAGCAGTTAAATGCTTAAAAAAATGGATGCGTGTAACTTATGTACGCGCGTGAGAAGTTATACTTCTTTAGCATCATTAAAATATTTTTTAATTGCATGCAAATAATTAATAATTACAATAAAATAATAAGAGGACTGGAAAAGGATAGTTAACACAGTCAATTAAGTTCAGTTTTAATTTGAAAAATTAAAAAAATATTCAATAAAAATCACTACTGAATGTAAGTTATTAGTCCATATGTAATTAGCACTTGTAAGTAACTAAAACACGTTGTGTTCTTGACCTTCACAAGTGCTTGTAATAGCCTAGACTGAATAAATTTCATTTCATTTCATTTCATTTCATTTCATTTCATTTCATTTCATTTCATTTCATTTCATTTCATTTCATTTCATTTCATTTCATTCCATTTCATTTCATTTCATTCCATTTCATTCCATTTCATTCCATTTCATTCCATTTCATTCCATTTCATTCCATTTCATTCCATTTCATTCCATTTCATTCCATTTCATTCCATTTCATTCCATTTCATTCCATTTCATTCCATTTCATTCCATTTCATTCCATTTCATTCCATTTCATTCCATTTCATTCCATTTCATTCCATTTCATTCCATTTCATTCCATTTCATTCCATTTCATTCCATTTCATTCCATTTCATTCCATTTCATTCCATTTCATTCCATTTCATTCCATTCCATTCCATTCCATTCCATTCCATTCCATTCCATTCCATTCCATTCCATTCCATTCCATTCCATTCCATTCCATTTCATTCCATTTCATTTCATTTCATTCCATTTCATTCCATTTCATTCCATTTCATTCCATTTCATTCCATTTCATTCCATTTCATTCCATTTCATTCCATTTCATTCCATTTCATTCCATTTCATTCCATTTCATTCCATTTCATTCCATTTCATTCCATTTCATTCCATTTCATTCCATTTCATTCCATTTCATTCCATTTCATTCCATTTCATTCCATTTCATTCCATTCATTCCATTTCATTCCATTTCATTCCATTTCATTCCATTTCATTCCATTTCATTCCATTTCATTCCATTTCATTCCATTTCATTCCATTTCATTCCATTTCATTCCATTTCATTCCATTTCATTCCATTTCATTCAACCAATACACAGATTTGTCCAAAGAATATTACAATGATGACTTGTCTACGGAATATGAAAGTAAAAGCTACGATTACGCACCGCACAAGAGTAAATTCGCATCTTTCGTTGACAATAAAAATGTTGATCCAAACAAATTCGTTTCCAATAACAATGTAGCTTTTGGTTCTACTGTAACACCGTCGTACGAGCAACTCAAAGACTTATTGGTGACTAAGAAAGCATATAATACAGTGCAGCCATATTTGAGCAATATTCCCGTTGAAATTAACGTACATTTTCATTCCATTTCATTCCATTTCATTCCATTTCATTCCATTTCATTCCATTTCATTCCATTTCATTCCATTTCATTCCATTTCATTCCATTTCATTCCATTTCATTCCATTTCATTCCATTTCATTCCATTTCATTCCATTTCATTCCATTTCATTCCATTTCATTCCATTTCATTCCATTTCATTCCATTTCATTCCATTTCATTCCATTTCATTCCATTTCATTCCATTTCATTCCATTTCATTCCATTTCATTCCATTTCATTCCATTTCATTCCATTTCATTCCATTTCATTCCATTTCATTCCATTTCATTCCATTTCATTCCATTTCATTCCATTTCATTCCATTTCATTCCATTTCATTCCATTTCATTCCATTTCATTCCATTTCATTCCATTTCATTCCATTTCATTCCATTTCATTCCATTTCATTCCATTTCATTCCATTTCATTCCATTTCATTCCATTTCATTCCATTTCATTCCATTTCATTCCATTTCATTCCATTTCATTCCATTTCATTCCATTTCATTCCATTTCATTCCATTTCATTCCATTTCAT